GTTTAATTCAACCGTCAGAATCTTGGATGCAGTAAGTAGAGTTGATGGAAAACTATTTTAAAAAGCTTCATCAAGATACTTTTAACTCACGTCGAAAAATCTTTATACATACAATCCAAAGTAAACACAGATATACCCTAAGACCTTGTTAAAGCATTCGCCCGCCAACGAATTTTTGTGAGAATAAAATATCTTAATGTAAAGAGTGAAGAGGCTTGTCATTAACCACCTGGCCTTTTCAAATTTCTTAAAAAAATTACTTGACTTCATCAAATAACAACAAAATATTAATAGTTATTTATTCGACGAGTTTGAGTGTAAATCGGACTCTTTATTTGACCGAGTGGATTTTTAAACCATGAGTGTAACGAGTGGTTTACCATCCACGAGGTGGAATAAAGCGTCCGATTTACACTCAAACGAGTGGAATACAACATTTTATTCTTCGAATTAGAGTCAACAAGGCTTAAACTTGCTTTAAATCTGTTAAAAATAATTTGACATTTTGTCTTGAGAAATATCAAACAGTTGTCAAAACTTCCTTACACGGGAGAAAAACCGTAAATTTTGACAGTGTCGAAGAATAAAATATTTTAAGTAAGCTGCGACGCTACATGCGTTCATTAAAAAAACTCATGCAAAAGGACAATGTAATTTTTTAGATCCAGTGCATTACCACAGAAAATAGAATATACCTACTTAATTAGAAAGGATTACAGAATTTGGAAAGCAACTGGTGTCTTCTCTTTCAGACAAGAAAGTAAATAATCCGACCCTGTTAAAAACTGACCTGTTTCCTTCGTTTCTCAAGCCGGGTGGGTTCCACTGATTTATGAATGTTTACCCTCTAGTTTACTCTCAACAATACCGCATTTAACTTAAAAGTAATAAAATTTTTAGTAGGTCTTAGCAAAACGATTTAACTGTACATTTGAAATCAATGTCCAAACAGATATAGTTAACGAAAAAAAAAAGATGAGGTAGAGGATTGGCAGGACAAAAGCCCCGATGGTAACAAATTCTCAGCAGGAGTAAAAATGGTAAAAAGAAAAGTAATTTGTTTTGATGAGTTCTATCACCGTTTAAATTTTCTTAACGCATTTCAATAACATACTGTATAAATTCAATAGACTCAAACCAAAGACTATTAGGGAAACAGTTTCTTAAATCACGTATGTCCGGTGTAAAAACACGATCTCCAAAAATCCAACACCAGACAAATCCAATAATTGTAATGATTTTATACCGTGTTTAAAAATGTTTCCAAATTAATTTCTTAATACATGTATCACGTAAAATATCGATAGTTAACGATTGGCTCCCTCTCTAAACCAACCAATGTAATTGTTTTACTTAGGATTACCACCAATGTTCTTTTATCTTAGCTTAAGTAGATGGTAACGCCGAAATCATATATATTGTAATATTTAGACTTAAGGGCATTCTGATTGTTATAACCAAATTGTAAAATCACTCTCTAAATAAATAATTTGACTTACATACTACCTTTAAGTAAAAGTCCTAACAATACTCAAGTGTTATAAAAAAATTGTGAAAACTCTTTTTAAATAAATATAAGTGTTTAACGTTATCAATGAGTAAAAATCCAGCACCTAACACGCAAGAAGAATTTAAAAAAGAAATAAAGAAGAATGAATGTTTGACGCAAAATCGCAAGTGAGTGCACAAAAGAGTTCAAATTAGAAATAACCCCAAATATGACGGAGACAAAATGGAAATCTCTAAAGCGAACCTATAAAAGTGTATTATTAAACAATAATAGCACGGGGAAAAAAAAGGTACTGGAAGTTTTTTGATGCAATCCACAAATTTATGTATAAAAAACCAGAGATAAATCCAGCAGTTACCTTCAGCAACAAGATTGTGGCAAAAAAATGAATCTCCAACTCCGTCGACAAGCTTTGAATGAACTTTATCAACAAGCAATATTGAAAGTTCATTTAAGAAAAAAAATACGAGAAAGTGAAGTGTCAAGACGACACTTAATTATGCCAGAAGCGAGCTGGACTACAAAAAATCAAGAAATACTTTTACGAAAATTTTAAAATCCATGGGCTACACATATAGGATCGCAGATGAAAGAAAAGTATTAATAGAGCAACCACAATTAACAGGAAAAAAAAATTCTACGAAGATATTTAGAATTTTTGAAAGCGTCTGTAAGTGAACCAGTCTATTTTGTGTACCTAGATAAAACTTGGATTTATCAGAACGGTAGCCAAGTTCGTCAATGGATACACAAAACAGACACTTCTGCTAAAAAATTTTAAAGTGAAAGAAAAAGATTCACTAATGTGAATCCTAGCAGTACCGATTGGTACTGCTAGGGTACGATTTTACCGACCGGTCAAGATAGTGACGAGAAAGGACGACTGGATGGTGTGCTAGTCTGGTGGGTGTGAATAATTATTGTAATTGGACAAAATAAACGAATTTGGCGAGAGTTGAGTTTAATTCCGTTAACACTATTTTACATGCAGGTTGTGCTTCTGAATTTCTGCCACAGTGTAATTTATTTTTGGACAGCAAAATTAATGATAGTGATTATCACAAAACGATAACAAGAGAAATATTCATCAAATGGGTAGAAAATTAGTTAATTCCTGCTGCAGTTAATTTGGAAGGGAAGGTGGTAGTAGTTGTTATGCTCCGTACCATTCTATGAAATTTGACAAAACACCATCTTCTGCTTCCAAAAAAAGCTACTATACAGCAGTTGTTAACTGATCACAACATCTCTTTTAAAGCAAATTTCACAAAAAAAAAACAATTTTATGATTTAATAAAACCATTCTTGACCAATCAAAATTATATCAAGTATGAAGTGGATGAATTGTTAAAGGACATGGTCATAAAGTTCTTAGATTACCTCCATACTAATGTCATAATAATCCAATTGAATTGGCATGGGGTTTTTGTAAGAACTATTAAAACAAACGTATACAGGGTTTTCGGTCCAAGTCGCCCCGGCCGATAACACTTAAACTTACTTTTTTTTTTTCAAAACTAAATTTTTAAATAATACTATTCATTCCTCGCTTTCTTAGTAAATGCATCAAATTTCCTTGGCACATCCGGTGTAGCCGGATACGGTAAACCACTATTTATTACATTTTAATTTAAATAATGCACTTAGAGAACAATTTAAATTTTTGAATTCTATTGCAAATTTTGCAACGTAGGCGGATTTTACTTGTCAAGGTATTCATGCAAAAAGCAATATACTTTGATACCGTTTAATTGTTAGTTTGACAAAGCCTAATTTGTCAATAAATCTTATTGAGATCTTTAATAATGGATGATATTAAGTACGACGAATTGGTAAATTAGCTTGAAGTGTTTTTTAAGTGCAATAAAAATAGAGCGGAAGCTGAAAGACAGTTTAGAGAAAAATACCCAAATAGAGTTCACCCAAATCGTTGGAAATTTAGTCGAATTGAAAAACAACTGAGACGAATAGGTTCGTTTCTTAAAAATAAAAAACCTGTGGTTCTTTGTGAAGAGCAAGAAAATAGGAATCTGAATGTTCTGTTATCAGTCGATGTTTAGCATTATTTTCATAAAACTACCTACTCTAGAAACGAAATCAAAACTCGTTTTCCTTCAGTATGATGTTGTTGGTTATTGTCAATTTTTAAAATGATTTACGCAATAAAAGTACTTACCATTATCCCAGAAGTACAGCACAAGGAATGGTCAAAACCTTGATCGACTTTTGCAAAGTTTTATTAATTACACAAAACCTTTATTCAGATTCACATTTACACAGAAAAATGACTCACAAAACACACTAAGCACCATTTCCGCAAAATTTACGAAAATGACAATTATTACAGTCACCAAATTACCGGCGTTTTCGTAAACATAACCTTATTTTCTTGAACCATAGACCAAAGAACAAGGATAGATGGAAGGAGAATTGGTGCCGCCATATTGGCAAGCTATGGGCAGTTGCAACTAGATTATGCAATCAACAATACACCCGTGCACCACAATAGCACTAAAAAAGGGGCGTTTTGGCACTAATTTTATTATGTAAATTCCCATCTTTTCAATGCTCATAAAAGATCGTAAATGGGCAGGTATAATAAAAAATAGCGGATAACACTCGTTTATAAGCGCCTTTAAAACACTTACGACGTTAAAAGCACTCCGCTGACGCGTCGTGCTCTAAACCCGTAGTGCGAGTTTTAAAGGCTTGCTTATAAACTAGTACAGAGTGGTTATAAATGATTTTCATCTAGCCAGCTTTGGATTTTTTTTGCATGTAACTTAATTTGTGCAGATCTACTTTTTTGAAAGCTCTAGTTCTGTCATTAGTGTCACTTATTAATTAATAATAAATTGTTGTTGATTAAATTTTTATTGTTTCAACTAATTTCCAATAATAATTGATAATAATGTATACTTTGGAAGAAAACAAGTTTATAATTGAACTCTATTTTCGAAGTGGAGGCTTAGTAAACGTAAAATTTTGAGTTCCAACAAGTAGGAACCCCTATTTTCGTAAAGCGGCATTTTTTATTTTACATGGAAAATTCACAGCTGGCTAGATGAAAATCATTTATAACCACTCTGTATTATAATATACTATTGTGCAACAAATTCTTTAAAAAAGCGTCGCTAGCTCCAAAAATATTAAATTAAATAAAAATGTAAATAAACGTAATTTTGGAACTATATTTTTTTATTTCAGTTATTAAGAAAAAATTGCAACAGCGCTTTTGTAGTGAAATAGAGCAGAAAAATAATTCTGAAAATTGATAGTTATTGCTAAAGGGTAGAAGCAGACCATAGCAACAAGATTTTAAAGAAATTTTTGCACAAAACATCATTTAAGCACCATTTGTTCGAGAATGACACTAGAAATCATAAAATGTCAGTTTTTTCAACGCCACCACACATTCGGGGAATTGGCAATACTGAAAAGGGCATAATCACCCGAATGAGTTCGTTAAACACGCAAAATAGACAAAACACCAAGTAGAAAAAACCTTTATTAAAGAAAAATGAAACATGCAATGATGAAAAGTGGAAATAAATAAACAGATCACTGTTTTGCCAACTGTGCTCTCAACCGATTCACAGGCCACTCCAAACTATCCACATATTTGTTATATTCAGCATCAAGGATGGCTTTTTTGTCGATAGGTTCGGTAATTACCCCAACCCGTTCCAAATTACACAACCTCTTACTCCCCTTAGTCTCTTTCTGCGAAAAAATCATTAACTTTAGTGGAATAACTAGGGATTTTAGTCGCTCACCTCAATCTCGTTGGCAATCCTGCTCCTAATCCCCTCCGTAAACTTCACATACTCCTTATAACCGTTTTTATGCGCCGTTAAACACTCCAAAATATCGAAAACCCTCTGCGCTTGTCTTTTACAAATCTTATGTTTTTTCAAAAACTCATTAATTTGCTTGTGATTTTGCGTACTTATATTAACCCCACTTTGTTCTAAATTCTTATAAATGGAGAAACTGTCGCAAAAATCGCGAATTTTCTGGAATATTTCGGTAGGTTCTTCCACTGCAAATAGTTTTATTAGCAAATAGCTTTATTAGGATTAAAAGTGTCACTTTTATGCACAATAAAACATGCTATTTTTTTCTCCATGCGCAAAATTATTAAAATTGAGAATTACCATGGTAACAAATTTTTTTCCTAGTTAGAAAAACGTCAATTTTATCTGTCAAAAATGACATGGAGAAAAACACAGCAATGCCAACATTGCACTTGTAGAAAATAGAAACCTGTAATATCGCCCGAGTCCGGCAATTCTTTCAAATAATTGTAGACAGCGGAGTACAATTTTGTGCCAATTCCGCGCTTTTGGTACGTGGGTAACACGAAAAATTGGGAGATACGGGGGCGCGTTCCATTGGGGTACAGGAAAAACTTGTAAACGGTGCAAAACCCGATAGGGGTGTAGTGGGCATTTGGGGCCTCCTCGTAGACGTAGAAAATGGTCCAGCGGGGGTCTTCTAAATCGATAAAGTTAGCCCCATCGATGAACCACACTATTAGGGTCTCAAAACGTTGGTGGAACTTGCGGAAATCTGGGTTTTTAGGGTCGCAAAGTGTTACTTTGTACGTTTCTAAAAATTCAATTTTTGGTGATTTTTCAATAATTTGAGGCGAGATTACGGTCAGACTCGCCGGGGAATGTGTGAATGACGTCCCCAAACATAATACTGTGGTCCTCGACGGCCAAATCCCCCAAAAAATCGTTTTTGTCAGTCCGGTAGTTTTCAGGTAGCCAGGGATTTAACGTTTTCAGGATATCGTCGGCTTTGCACGCGTCGTTTTCAGGAATTTTACCACTGGCTTGCACGTCGATGTAGCATTTAGCCGAATTGTGCAAATAAAACAGGTTTATGGCCAGTTTTTTGTACCCGAAAATCATCTCACTGAAACTTTGAGGTTAGGTTTTTCTGACTCTAAAAAATTTAAATACGAACGTTTCCCCAAATATCTGGTGGGCCATTTCGGGCTTAAACGACTTGCCCTTCTTAGGGGGGCCCTCCAAATCGTCCTTGCTTCGCACTACAAGACAATAAATAAAAATTTAATTAGAATTTTTAGAAACCTTACCGGTCCGAAAAGTGATCACGTTGAGGCTCAGTTTCTTGTATAAAACCATTTCGTCGTCCTCGCAGTTCGAGGAAACATCACTGTCTCCGTTGAGATTGTTTTTAGCCATCTAGAAGTTTTTTTTCGTCTTTTTTTGATCAAAAAATGAGATACAAATCGCAGAAAATTATTGAAACGGTTTATAGGTGATTTCAAACTAGAAATTTGCAAATTGAGACACTTAGAGCAATTTTGAACGTCTTTGGGGCCACATTTAACCGATTCGAGACAAAATTGGGATCAAGTCGACTGGCGCGCGATTTTGTGCGCATGTCACAACAGTGTCAAGTGAGGAAGCGGGAGATTTGAAAAAGACAGGGGCGTATCACCCAATCAACCACAGGGGCAAAAATTAAAAAAATATGAATTTTTCCCTTATTTTATATCTGAAATCGTAAAAAAACAAATCGAAATTGCAAGTTTATTTTAATTAGACTATTATTTCGGAATCAAGTTGACTACCGCCGATTTTGTGCGCTGTCAAATCTGACAAAAAACGTGAATTTGAAAAACAGTAGCTTATCAGAAAAAGATTTACGAAATGAGAGAATCAAGTCGGCTAGCGACAATTTTATGCGCATATCACGTACAAAATGCTGTAAATCTGAAAAAGACAGTGGCGCTACATAACGGGCGCAAAATTATCCCGAAATTGTTATTTATTCGACGAGTTTGAGTGTAAATCGGACGCATTATTTCATCGAGTGGATTTTTAAATCACGAGTGTAACGAGTGGATTACCATCCACGAGGTGGAATAAAGCATCCGATTTACACTCAAACGAGTTGAGCACAACATTTTATTCTTCGAATTAGAGTCAACAAGGCTTAAACTTGCTTTAAATCTGTTAAAAATAATCTGACGTTTCGTATTGAGAAATGCCAAACAGTTGTTAAAACTTTACACGGGAGAAAAACCGTAAATTTTGACAGTGTCGAAGAATAATAAATTTTATTTCATACTGCATCGTAATACCCATGTTTAAGTTAATGATTTAAGTCCGGAAAAAGAGACTACGGTATTGGGTTTTTTACTTTTACCGGACTCAAAAGAAATAAATCAATAATCAAACTATATCATTTCCCTTTTCCAGTCACAAAACAGTTTATATTCTTTATGGTATCTTTCTGATGATTTTGTAGGAATGGGAGAACCGGTAGCTTCATTACAGAGGATGATTCTTAAATATACCGACAAAATTTTATCACAGCTTCCCAAGGATAAATGGAGACAAACTGTAACCTTTTCACGTTTATATCTTTTAGGGGCAAAACCCCCTTGATCTGTGCCACTTACTGCGTTTATCAATCAAATTAATACCATGGTTTCCTTTCCACTACCTGTGCTACTACTATTTACGAACACATCAGTGGCGTACGCTTCACCTCGAAAATAACTTTAATAAATTTTATTTGGAGAACGGTTAAACAAAGAATTTTTTAATATTATTTCCAGCATGTTCTTATTTAATACTACCAAAAATAAAATTTTGTCGGTCTATTTAAGAATCACCCTGTATTTACGTAAAACATCCGAAATATTAGTTTGTTGTCATTGTGTAAAAAAAAAACATTAACCTTAGAGACTAGGGTTTCATAGATGATCATATTTTTAATGAAAAAAAATTTTTTTTTCAAATCTAGTGCCTGCAGTATAAAATAAAACGCATTACGACATACGTCCGCCACATGATTTTCTACAATTCTCGTTTCAACATTCTTGAGTCGGTTCCTTAGTCGCCTCGTCCTTAAACGTCTCACTCGTACTGTAAAATCTCATTTATCGGACTAAAAACGTGTTCATTAAATAATTGGGGTGAAATTGACGCAAATGCCGGTTTATTTGTAAAATGCTTTGGAATGAGCAGATTGGATTTTATTTAATTCAATACATCTGCATATAAAAACGTACAATACTACAGGAAGTAACTACATGGTGAAATAGTCATGTTGCAAAGATAACATAAACTCGATTTGCTTTACAATAAACACTTTAATAATATTATGATACATAATTTGTCTCTTATGAAGAGCATGTACAATTTGAATAATTCTCATAAAAACGAAAAAAATGCAAATGATTTCGAAAATATGTTTTTCTATAACAAATATTTGCACTGTTTTTTATTTACAATAGAATTTTTATATAACAAGTCACTGGGTTGTACTTGACATTGAAAAAAAAAACTAACATAACCAATAATTCAGTAACAAAATTACAGTTAAAATTAGTAACTAGTCTAACCAGTCATGTTACAATCAAGTGAACTAGACTTTGCAACAGTACAAAAAAATGAAATATCTTAAATTATGATTATATTACAAAAACTATGTGAAACTGAATCAAGCACAAGCTTCGAATTCTGTATTTAAATACATTACAATACTAAAAAAGCAACAACTGTATTGACGTATCTCACACGTGTAATGTAATGACAATCACAGACCTCGTAATACAAAATCCCAAGCTTTTTACCGGTGAAAAAACCAAAAAAACACTCAAATTATCTCTTATGCCTGTCCCTCGACCTCTCCATATCCACCCACTCGGGATCGTTGGGGTCCTCCTCCCCTAGCGCTGACTCGGTCGACTCACTCCCCGGCGAATCCACCTTCTCGTCCAAAAACCCCCCGAAATCACAATCCTGCGCCCGGTAATTCGTCTTAAACTGGTGATTTTCCGGCATACTTTTCAGCATTTTCTCATAAGTTTCATCATCCAACGGAAACGTTCGCGTATCAAACGGCGCCACTTCCACATTTTCCGGTGTATTATTCTCCTCTCGCGCCACGACGCCGGCGACGCCGACACGTGACTGCGAAATCGTCCGACGACGCATCGCACTTATCGAGGGCAAATCCTCAGGAAGGGGCGTGGCTGGTGGTGACGTCAACGGCGACTCGGCCGTTTCAGCCGGATGTGGCGACAACGGATCGGGTGTATTCGCGCCGCTTGATTCGGCCAAACTGTCCGTTCGTTTGTGGGCTCGGCTACGGCCGTGACCACTCGGTAATTTCAAATAACTAAGAAATTTCTTCTTTTCCTCGTATTCGGACTTCTCGTGACGCGCAAGCACCGCCTCCTCAGAGAGATCTTCCGTCTAAAAAAAAAAAAACAAAACAAACACACATAAACACCAACTTAAAAAAAAAACAAACACAGAAATTGTTATATTTTAATCAGTGGTAGTGACGAAACAATTAAACTATCATGGTTTCAATGGTTTAACCAATCAATTACTTATTTATACATCATGTAAAATTGAAAAATTAGCCAAAAACAATTGAAACTAACTTACATCGCTATCTTGACTAGGGTTTCTAACAGCTCCGTTATTTTTCGTATCACATTTCAAATCAATGTCCGCTATTCGCCATCTGTAATAAAACAAAAAAATCACTTTTAATTGTCACATCACGTGACTACGAAAGCGCTAAAACACAATTTTCAATTAAATTGACAGTTAGTAACCGTCAATTGCCAACGGTTAAAATAAAAAATTGCGGGACTCCAGGAGTTATAGGTTATAGTAAATTGACAGTTACTATCTGCCAATTGCCAATTGTATCTGACAATTGACCGTTACTATCAGGCAACTACCACTAAATATCCGGCAACTCACAGTTACTAACTGCAATTCAGACATAATATTTGGCAATTGACAGTTACTATCCGACAACTGCCACTTATTATTTGGCATATGACAGTTAGTACTTGCCAATTGACAGTTACTATCCAGCAACTACCTCTTAGTATACAGCAATTGCCATTCACTATCTGAAAACTGACAGTTACAACAGGCAATTGAAACTGACACTGTCAATTTAGTTATTTTTTTTATGTGACCCATCACACTCTTACTCACTTTGGTGTCAAAATCTCTTTGTACTGTAATTTTTCGACTCGTGTCGCTGCTGCCACACTATATGGTATAACAATATTGTCGATATCGTACGAATTTGCCCGATTTCGTCGGTTATAACCGGATATGGCTTGCATGTGAAGTAACGGTGATGAACTCGGTGATGCTACAACCGAATTTGCTACACCCGTTGTACTATTATTACCAATAGATTCAACTTCTTCGTCGACACCATCACTTAATTTTGGTCGTTTTTTAAATGTTAATGACGATGAATGTCGACTTGTTTTTCGGCCACGAATTTTATTTCGAATTTTAGCGGAAAGAGCCGACATTGTACTGGGTTTCAATAAACGATTGTATTTCTTTCTATGATCGATTTTCTTTGATCGATGTTCTAATACAGACTTGTCAGATCTATCTTTATTCATAACTTTGAGAGATTTCATTCGGGTACTTCGTTGTTGCCATTCGGGATTCTTCATAATGGCCTCGCAGTGGGTCGCGTACGATGTATCTACAATAAAAAAATAGTTATATATGTATTACATATACACTGGTCGCCAAAATTAATCGGACATCTAAAATTTTGCAATATTTCACGTTGCAATGTTTTTGTTATTCTGTGTCGGATTTCAAAGAATTTTTGTTTGGATTAAAAAATGAATTTTGCAGAACATTGTAATTTAATTCAATAACATTTCTAGTTTTGTCTTCTAAATATGATATCCAAAAGATGAAGGCACTGTTTTTTTTACTTATACAGGCTGCGCCAGAACTCGCGCCCCAGAGAAAAATGTCAAATGCCGGCGGCAACAGGTCGCCAAAAAGTGCAGGCGAAGAAGTAATTTTTGCTTGCATAAGAGAGTTATTAGACTCTTAAATCCACCAATCCCAGAAGGACACCTCAAGGTGTGATTGAAAAATTATATCCGTTGCTAGGTTACGAAAATAATACCAATTTGCCCAGAATTTTCATTAAATAGCTGGTCTACTGGAATTTTTAGTTTGACATTTTTCTGTATATTTTGCATTAAAGTAAATAAAGAAACTTGTGTACTTCTTCATGTTTTTCTGGTCTCACTCTCACTTGTTTCTTTGTTTCATAAAGATAACGCACTAGTTTTCAAGCTCTAAAATTCATTTATCGGTTTGTTAATCTGTATCGATCGAAGAAAAAGTTGAGAAGGAACAATACCTATGAAGAAGTCGGTGGTTCATCAGGAATTTCCAGAATGTTTCAAAGTAATTTTTGATAATTGTTGATAATAATTAACGATTTTGACTCATTATACTCGTGTACAACCTCTTATGCGAGAAAAATACTGCAAACTAGCAGGTAATGTCACCCACAAATTAATAAATGTCAAACTAAAAATTCCAGTAGACCAGCTATTTAATGAAAATTCTGGGCAAATTGGTATTATTTTCGTAACCTAGCAACGGATATAATTTTTCAATCACACCTTGAGGTGCCCTTCTGGGATTGGTGGATTTAAGAGTCTAATAACTCTCTTATGTAAGCAAAAATTACTTCTTCGGCTGCACTTTTTGGCGACCTATTGCCGCCGGCATTTGACATTTTTCTCTGGGGCGCGAGTTCTGGCGCACCCTGTATTTATACTGAGCTGTGGTGTGCGACAGAGACAAACTTGAGTTTTTACTGATTTCAGATTATTGCCCATTCTTTTCTGAATTATGTACCACATTTTTCATAATTTTGATTCTTGAGACATGAGAGATATAAACTTTCAAAAAAAGCATTACATTTTGAATTTCTATGAATTGTTCGTATTAAGTAGGTCGAATGTGCCAACAAAACGTCAAAATAGACCCATGGAAGTTTCCAATAATTAACTGTTTTACTTGTTGTAATGCTTTGACGTACTAAGTTTTTTAGATTTTATGTGTTCAAAGACGTAATTGTGTTCTTTTGGTGATTTTCGGTTTAACTACCTTTTATGTAGCCTACTTTCTAAATGAGTCTTTAGTAACATTAGAAATGCAACGTCTTTTCCAATACTTTGTATCTCTGGGGTACCAGAAGATAAAATTTTGAAACAAATTAGTCCTCATTCAGAAAAAAAAACGAGCAATAATCTGAAATGAGTAAAAACTTAATTTTGTCTCTGTTGCACACTACAGCTGAGTATAAAAAAGTAAAAAAACAGTTCTCTCGTCTTTTAGGTATAACATTTCCAAGGCAAAACTAGAAATGTTATTGAATTAAATGTTCTGCAAGGTTCATTCTATAAGCCGAACAAAAATTCGTTGAAATCCGACAAAGAATAACAAAAATATTGCAATGTGAAAAAATCGCAAAATTTTAGGTGCCCGGTTAATTTTGGCGGCCAGTGCAAATGTCCTCGGCTCCCTTCCGTCACCCCTCCCAACAAACTAAATTAGTAATAACAAACATCAAATGTCAGTTCCCTGTTGGGAGGGAAGTTGCTTAATCCCCAATTCAAATTACCTTCCGGCATGGAAAAAACGGGATGAAATCCGGGATCGACCAACGCGACCCTTTCCGGTTTGCTCAATGCCTCTGTCGGATCCCTGGGATGCGTAGGATCCGTCCGTCCCGTACATACCGCACACGGCGCCGCCGTATTGACGCATCCACAACGTATCGTCGTCGGACGTGCCGCTTTTTTAGAAATCACATGCAATCCGTTCAATTGCAACAGTTTTCTCTTTTTAAAATTGACCAATGGTCGTGTTCGTGCACATTCGTATTCAGGATGTGCACCGTTCGGCGTTGGAACGTCGTCACTTTTCGACGTAGCGAGTGGTGAACTGCCTGGTAATTGGCCACGATAGCCGTTAACCGCCGTTGGAGATGTCGGTGGCGGAGGACTAATACCCCCGAGCTGGATTTCGCCCTTCGATGAACGTATTTGACGCTGAATATCGCCGTGTTGACGTATTCGGTATTCCAAGTCGGAGATTTGGGCCTGAAGCCAAGTCCAACGCGAGGCGATTGCCGCACGTTGTGAAGCGTATTTCCATAATGCACGTTTTTGTCTGAAAAAAAAATCAAAAAAATAAAACAAATTAAACAGATTATCTCTTATAGGTAGGTAGAGCTTATTTCATATCTGGTGGCGAACTGACAGTGACAGAAAAAACACTTGGAGTGCGCCCAGTTGGTTAAGATAAAAAAATACAAGGGCGTATTTTTTTTTTCTCTAAAAATTTTGTAGACAAGGATTGTTAGGAATATCATGTTTGAAAATTCTTTTCAAGCGTTAACAATTTAATAACTTGTTCATCATTCTTCATCTTATGTATGAGTACCTACTTATTATAATTTTTTAAAGAATAACTGTGGTTTTGAAATATAATTTCGTACGACGCCTATGAACAATATTTTTTTTTAATAGTAAACATATGTTTAGTGTCAAAATTCAGTCATTTTTGACAACGTCAGTTCGCCACCAGATTTGGAACAAGAAGCTCTAATAATGTTTTTTATTACTTTAAGACACAAATAGAAGTAGTACAACTTTATTCTTCATATAATAATGGTCAGTTGGTGATTCTTTTATCTAATTAGTGAATAAATTAATATACCACAAAACTTTTTTTCTTCCTTTTGACAGACGCAATTTGTTAAAAACACCAATAACACATAAAAAAATGCAATAATTACACTTTACACATTTCACTTACTACTTTTAAATAATTCACGACTGTCTGTTATCGAATTTTCATCGTTTGGTAGCTTTTCATTTCATGACAAAACATGTCAAATTAAGAAATCAGCAAATAAGTTGGTACACTTCTCATTAATTAAAAAAAAATTATGTATATACCTACAAGAGAAAACATTGTATTATACACGTAAAGAAAAGTTGGCAGTATCTGCTCGTCCTAAGGACTCGTTTCACAAACACATCACTCACAGATGATGAAAAACTTTTCTTTACTTGTGTAATAAAGTACTATTAATTCTTGCGCAATTACTGTTTCATTCATTTAAATTCAACATTCAAGGTCGTGTCATACTACAAGAAACAACATTTTTATCGCTCAAAAAATCGACCCACATTTAAGAAATATAGAACAATTTTTTGTAGTATTTTAATTTGTATTGTCAGGTCGTTGATATTAAAGCAAGTTTTTTTTGCATCTTTCACAACAGCACTTTAACTTTGTTAAAAAATTAAACGTGTAATTAGATGGCGCCACGCTATAATACATATCTAATTTTTTTTTCTTAATTTCATACATAATTTCCTTAGGCGGTTAAGGAAATGGAACAGCGTAATCCGTATCAATAATATTTAGGTGTAAATTTTTTCATGACTCACTGTATAATTAAAAAATAAAAAACCAGTCTGAGTTTGATATTGTACCCAGCCTCGGTTATCTTTATAACGATACAGTATGGTTCAACAAAGACTGAACTTAAAACTAAACCTACAGTCATCTACTATTAGGAAAAAACTCACATACACTAAGAAAAAAACAAAGTTTTTAGAAGTAAATGCTGATTTTAGTCAAGATTTATAAAGTAAGAAGGTTGCCTCGTAACTCTGCACCAATCATGTGTGCACATTATTCGTGCGAATTGACGTCACTGGAGTGATTGTTCAAAAATAGGATATGCAACCAAACATATTATTAAGTTCAAAAATTAAAAAATTAGAAATTCGTAAAATAAATACTATATTTTTTATTAATGGTAAAAAAAATAAAATACAAGGTGATTCACGAGGAATAATGTGCCTGACCAAATTCTCGATGCAACCACCATTACTCTTCGCAAGTTATTTTGCGACAACTCTAATGTTGGTTGCATCCAAAATTTGGTCAGGCTCATTATTCCTCGTGAATCACCCGTTATATAAATAGATAAAAAATATAAATTGTTGTTAAAACTTGCAATATTTTAATTTACAAATTTATTCATTTTTGCTTTGATTTGTTTATCAGAAATTTTCTCGATAACTATTTATCGCAGAACACTGATATTTTTTTGTATATGATAGAAAATTAAATTTTATTTCCAACGGTACCAAACAAAAGCGGTCATCACCAAGAAGTCCGGTGTTATTATAAATAGACGGCTCCGGGTGCTAAAAATCGAGCAAAATCTCCACAAAAATTAAAAAAAAATTAACTTTAAAATGGATCCATATAACGTTTTTACATTTCTAGTGATTTTAAAGACTCAAAAAAGTGCACAAAACGTTATTGGGTCAAGTTTAAAAATTTACAATTTTTTTGAGTTTAAAAACGCTTGAAATATTCTTTTCTTAGACGTAAAATTACTCGCTGAACACGATGCAACAGGATAAAAAACTCTACGATGCATAGTTCTTGCCATATTGAGTAATAAAGTTAAGAATAAGGCTAGAAGCATACAAGTTCTATAAAGGAAGATGTATGTGGTAAATAATGCAAGATGCAACACAATAATCATAACACAAATCTGAAATCTGACATAAGGTGATCAACTTCAAATAATTCAAAATCAAAATTGACGACAAAAACAAGACTTTAATTTAAAGATACTTTGTTTTCGCTGCAAATAAAAATCTCAAAAATTTGCACAGTTAGGTGTGTTCTTAAATCGAAACAAATCAGGACATAAGTGTAAAACAGGACAAGACAATAAAAACCTAAACATGTCCTGGCTAAATCAGGACGGTTAGTCACCTTAATCTGACAGTCTGCAACCTGCGGTTGAACGAGCATCACTCCACTGACGTCACCATATAGCCATCTTACTCGCTCTTTAGTGTCTCACTCCAAGTTAAGAGACAACCTTATTTTATAAATCTTGGATTTTAGTAAATTATTTTTTTATACAAAGTTAAAACATACTTTTAACAGACTCACTCAGTATATGTATTTTATTTTTCATTTTTTCATAAAAATACACATTTATGTATTTAATTAAAAATAAAAAAGTTATTTCGATGCGACAAAAAATCCGAAAAATCTGTTGCAGTAATTAGTTCAAATTATAGGTGTACTAAATCAACTTATTTTCTGTTTAAAGAATTAATAATCACTATTATTACACACTTCACATGTTCACTACAATAGAAATGACCGCAAAAAGAAATATTGAGTCACCCTGTAAATGCATTAAATATATCAAACATCGAAATATAGAGCGATCATATGTATTATTTTATTTAGGATTACTAATCGACATTAAAATGCCCGAATAAAAACGCACAATATTGCCAACTTAACAAATGTATAACTTAACACTATATAACAAATTAAATAATCAATTACGAGAAACAAACTAATATTTTATCACTTTATGAGTGTCCAAACAGTGTCAACGAAAAAACAAAAACTGATAACAAAGATAACAATCATAAATAAAATTAAACAAAAATAAATACGCAATATAAATCGATTACCAAAAACGTCCGCTATTTATTAAACATTAGATAACGCACTCTATATCCAGGTCGAGATAAAAAAAAAGATAAATGTCACCTGAGAACACCGGAACAAACATTATTTTTTTATGTAGTCGAGTATCTAAATTTATTCATAAATACAAGTGTCCTGAAAAAACGTCGGAAGTTTTCGGGGACTGGTTCCCTAGTAAGAATAAAAAAAAAAAGTTTCTATGAACATAACAATTTGGGCGCTGAATCTATTGGTGATTTTGATTTTAAAGTAGTTTTTTTTAGATGCGGGGTTTTTCATATAATGTCGAGGTATTTTTCGGACACTTGTATAATAACACCAACGCCGTTCTTTTCTTTATTATTTATTTTTTTCTCATCATTCAACTGTTTACAATGACGTCTAGACAAAATAAAAACCAACAACCCGCAAATTATTTTCCAATATGATACACTTAAATGACAATCAACAGGTTGTCGATACTATGAAATGAAAAAGTATTTCACAATTTTCTAGTTTTTAGTACGTAATATCGATCTTAGAGGTCGCCGCCCACTGTTACTAACCTCTGCAATATGCCACGTTACCACACATGAATACAAGTTTGAACACGTTTACTCAGTTTTGAATACATGTACAAGGTTTTCGACCACATTATTTACATAATTTTTGAATCCAACATTATCACTTATCACAAATGACTCACTTACAAAACGTGGAAAAAAATCATGGAAAACAAAAGCAAATCTAAAACGTTGCTATGTCGCAACAGTGTAGTAAAAAATAGACTAAATACATAATTGTAACGTTTCGGTGCAATTTGTTACTTTCTACACAAATTAAAATTGCGCAATTTGAGGAAAAAATTGTACGACTTGATCTTGAAAAATCAACGAACTTTTATCTCACCTTTTTTTAGAAAAAAAAAAATAATAATAGGAATATTAACGCAAGTTATAAAATGACGCATCCTTTAAAGGATGATGCAATCGATAAGTCTACAGACACTCCTTTTGAACCGATTTTTTTTTCTTTATTGTGGCAAGACTGATTAGGGAGGAAAGTTTTAAATGTTTACAGAACGAGTCAAAGGGTTGTTTCTACCTGTGTTGGGTCAATTGGAGGCTTTTTCTCAGTCTCTCTCCTCAGTTTAATTTTCTTTTCTTCTTTATTTGAAAAAAATGTAAAATTTTGTGTTGTTTTTTATTATAATGTATTTAAAATTTGAATCAGTTTGCCAACTGCACTTTTATGACAATTAATTAAAATTTCAATTCCACTGCTGGTAACAATTACAATTTATAAACAAAAATACCAAACCAATCAACGCTATAACCTTTAATCCCGACGCAACATTACGCAACGATCCCACACTATTTTTGTATTTTTCCCCACAATTTTTTTTTTAATACTTACATACTAAGGTACTGTTGATGTGGATTATTATAACTCTGCATCTCATCACAACTTTCACCCCCCGAACTACTCTCTGTTGCTTCTGAATCAACTTCATGTTGCACTAGATTTAATTCAGTTTGTAAAAGACCGGTCACTTTTTGTAGTTCATGTTTATTTTCCATTGGCCATGTTGGTACATTGACCACACCGGGTGCGGGAAATCGATGATTTCCCGGTTCACATGAACCCGAACCAAAATATTTCGGTGTGTGTCTTTGGCGTGCCGCATTTTTTGCTTGAAGGACAGCCGCCATTTCGAGTTTCTTTAGCATGGTTTTAGTCGATGCGGATGACATCGGCTTCATCTGCGGTTTTTCCTCCTCCAGGTGTGTGTTGTCCTTGAGGCGTTTCAGCGACCTGAAAACAAAGAAATTGGAAAAAAGAGCTCAATTTGACACAAAAAAAAAAACATAATGAAAATTTGAAAAATCTATGATTTCCTCGAGATAGCTAATTAATCATTTTTAAATTATAGCATTGAAAAAAAAACAATTTCTATTTTCATTTGATTACAAGGCAAATCGACTCATTAGATGGATCAGCCTGTATGTATAAGCAACAAAAATATAAAAATAGACATTCGTTTTTAACAAAACTTATTTATAAAAAAGTGTTTTGTTTTAAATCCCTACAATTAAAAAAAAACAGTTGTAACCATCTTTCTTCAGTTTTTTCTAGTTTTTTTTTATTAAGAATTGAGTTATGTGAAAATTAAAGAAACTAGTATTTACTTAGACGTAATTATTTCAATTTAAAACATTAGAAACTTGTTTTTTTTTAAAGATAGACTTTTACATACATACTAAATAATTCATAAAAAAATCCTTAAAATTTATCTTTATTCACTCTTTTAAAATTGGACATCCTTGACATTTTATACCGACAATACATACAGGGTGCGACAGAACTCGCGCCCCATAAAAAATTTTCAAGTAAGGTAATATACTAGGAACATGAAAAAAATGTTTTTTTTGACATTTGACACTTTTTATGTCTATTTAATGATCCTGATGATGATCTTGTATATGTTTATAAATATGATTGTAAAAGCCACAAATAACAATGAAGAGAATTACAATTTAGGAGACAGCTCTTTCCTCTTTTAATAGCCTATAGAAAAAAAAACTTGGAACATTATTTTTCCAACAGAAATAAATAGAATCAAAGTGTAAAATTTAAACCCTCATAACTTCGAAATTTTTATAGATAAAATTTTTTTAACATTTTTTCCATGTTCCTGATATTTTACCTTATATGGCATTTTTCTCTGGGGCGCGAGTTCTGGCGCACCCTGTATAGATATTTGAAAAAAATACAAATTTAAACGACTTTACTTTTTTGTTGATTCTTTGATCATTCCTTGATTAGTTTAAATAAAAATTAGTGCTTTACAGGTTCGGATAATTCAAAAGCTCTATATGTAGATTTTAAACTACTCAATATTCGATAAGGATTTAATTATTTTTTTATAGTATCTTTTTTAAAATTAGGTCTAAACTAAAAAGAATAATTATTGAATTATTGTTTAGTTATAAAAAACGTTTACTTACAAAATAGTATATTACTGTACAAGTTATTATAGCACGACCAGCGTAGCGAGAAGTGCTTTAAAGTGGCAAATGCATTAAAACATCCTATACAGCATATGTAATATAGTATTTTTTATTGAACATTTTTAAAATTTAATTTATAATTATGTTCGAGAGTTGAAAAAGTGACGACTTATGCAGTACCCAAATCGCAAAAAAATGCATCAATTTCTCACAGTGTTGGTAAAAGTATTGCATAAAAGTTTAGCAAAACAGTATCTTAATAGCCTTCATTAAAACACTGTTTTTGGTGTTTTAATAAAATCATTAAAAACGCAAAATAAAAAAAACTGTGGATTTTGAATTACGCAAGTGACATAATTTCGACCAAAATTTCATCAAACCTTCGTTTTTGTTTGTTTTTTTTTACAAGAATTTCATAATTCTATTAATTTTCCAGTAACTTTCTCGTAGTTAAGTCTATATTAAACTAATTTCTTTTCGTCATTTTTCTTTGTAACTTTTAAAAATGTATTTTTACAATTTTAGACACCCATAATTGTACTCATTTGTTTCATATTCTCTATTATCAATACAGTAGACTCCCGATTATCGAAAACAATTGAGACCGGAGCCTTTTCGGATAATTGAAAGTTAATACGGAGTTTTTTTGTAGAAAAAAACATATTCACATACAGGGTGTCCCACGAGTCATAATGAGTCGGAATTTTTTTTTGAAGCAACCAACATTACATTTCAAAGATAACGTCGATATTAAAATATTTCGTTTTAATTAGTTAAACAAAGTAATCGTATTTTGGCAACATTTTAGTAATTCTCACCAAATTCTCCAAGGTTTGACATTTTATAAATTAAAGTTAAGTGCTGTTTGGTCAGTATGTTTAATTTATTAAAACTAAATATTTTAATATTCACGTTATCTTTGGAATGTAATGTTGGTTGCTTCAAAAATTATTATTACTCGTGACACAAATCTTATATTAAAATTCTATAAAAAAGGTATACATACATATTACATACCTAAGTAATAATTTGTACACATACCTAATATAGTTATGACTATTTTAAATGCATTCCGGCTTTTGGACGCAATGTTCCTCCACCGTGTTAACAGTAAAATGTCATTTGCTGTGGCCTCAGGCTGTTATTCTACGTATAATAATGCAAATTTCTTTTAGAACTGAAATGAGATTCGGAAGTTAATTCTGACAAAAATTTTTTTTTTAATTCCAAGAACTGCAGGTGCAAATTTCGGACAATCGGAAATTCGAGTCGAGACTGGTTTCGGTTAAAACGGCAGATCTAAAATTTCCGTTCGTTTCGGATAATCCGGCATTTCGGTAAATCGGGATCCGGATAATCGGGAGTCTACTGTAATTGTTTTTTATAATTTTAAAAATATAAAATATGATTTTAAAAACTGAGACAACCCTATAATTAAAAAAAAAAACATTCGTTTGTTTAGAGCTATATGTTTCAGAGAATCACAAATTACGACTAATTTCAAAGGTTTTTTCTGTTGATATTATATTTTTACTGTTGATATTCTGTTGATATGTGCAAAAAACACCATTTCCACGATTCAGAGGCACAGGAGACTTGTTTTGTCGACTAACAATGTTACGAACATATTTGTAAAAAAGGCATAGGCGACTTGTTTTGTGGGTAGTGGTGAAAATTTTCGTTTTGTCAGTTTCCTGGTGTGATTTTCGAAAACAATGAGTAATAATTTGACCGGTTTGTGAGCCAATGCTACCAACCACATGTGATTAAAATACCTAGTGGGGGTTGTAACTTAACTGTCAATCATAAAAAAATGTTTTTTTTTGGAACTTTAAATTAATGAAAATATGATTTCATGAACTTGGAGGTAAATTACGTGTGTGTTATGATTCAGAGAATCACAAATTACGACAATTTCAAACGTTGGTTTTACCAACATATGTGTAAAAAAACACCATTTCTAGGGTTTAAAAAAGCACAGGCGACCAGTTTTGTCGACGAATTTGACAATGTTACCGACATATGTGCCTAGTAGTAGTGAAAATTTGATAAAATCTTGTTTTCGTCAATGATTTTTGAAAACAATGGGTAATAATTTCGGCGGTTTTGGTGCGAATGCTACCAACAACACGTGGTTAAAATCCCTAGTGGGGGGTTGTACTGACCTGTGGACGTACTCGTAGACTCCTGCGACTTCCCCCGCGACATGCTGTCCCATATTCCTCGCTTGCAACTTCCTTATCTTCCTTCTGAGAAAATCCAACCTTCTCTCGATGCGATTTTGCGTATTTTTCAGTTCATTTAGCGTTTCTTTGGGGTCATCAATCGACATATTCATAACATCGTCATCGGTGAGTAGATTTTCAATGGCCATATCCTCTTCTGGTATGGATTTGATGACCTGCATGAGGTCGTCCACGTCCTGGGGCGAGGTTAAGTCGAGGCTTGTCGTTTTGTGTATGCCCATGTTTTGGTCACTCATAATGTCACAGTCCGAGCACTCGGGGGCGAGGTACTTAGGGGGCAACGTGAAGCTCTGCTTCTGGCCGCTGGTTTCCGTCAACGCCGGGGCCATGACCTCCGCATAGGGCCGCCTCGCCGACGCCGTGCGCAATCCCATTCATCCAAAACGGGGCTCCGCTCCTAGTCGCCGGCCAGCTCCATTGCGCCCCTCGATCAACCACCACTCACACGTGACGCCAACAACCGGAAATCGATCACCAACACATTGTAGGACGCACTTCCGCCTCCACCACGTCTCAAAGACGATTTTCCACAGATTTTACAACAATGGCGACGCGACTTTACACCAAACAACGCACTCTATTCGATTACACTCACAACAACCAAAGGCGACTTGATACAGAGCAAACGCGAGATTTCACTCAAGGACTCAAACACCGCCGAACCCAAAACAACATCCAAAACGCATTATGTAACGACTTAAACAACACAAATAACGTTGAGACACCGCGAGTTATTCGAAAACGGTTTTAAGACACACGCTGAGGGCGAAAACCGACCGGAAAAACACGATTTCGAGATACGGAAACGACAACAAGCCGCTTTTTGGCGCTCGACGACATGACACGACTTAACCGACACCAGCGACATCTACGCGCGCCAAATTCAAATCTGACCCAAAAACGACACATAAAAAACACGAAATTGGCACTAAAACCGCCCCCAACAAACCACATTGTGACCCTAAACCGACCCCTACCCCCATTTCACCGCCCCCGACTGTCTTTCACCCCACAATAAGCAAAAAATTTGACTAAAGAGTAAATTGGGCAAAAATCACAATTTCACAAGATTGAAGCCCCCAAAACACAAAAAACGCCCCAAAAACCTCTCACTAACTCCCCAACACGTGTCAAGCTTTTTCCAACAAAATTACAAAAATTTTGCCCAAAATTTCACATTTTTTAAGGGAATAATCAGCACGATTTGGGGTTTTGGGGCCCCACAATCGGATTTTGTTCACAATTTGTGATTATTTGTTCAATTTTGTGATATTTTGACAGCACTTGACAAGACCCCAACCAACATGTCATGTGGTACACATTTGAATTTTGAGGTTAGTTCGGACATGTCTTCGAGTTATTTGAAACTCAAATTTTTTGACCAAACCGAGTTTGAGGTTCGTATTAGTGTCAATTTGGCGTTTCAGCCCCCCAAATTGAGGTTTTCAGACTTGTGATGAGTGGAAATACAGAGTGGCCCCTTTTGCGATCAGTGAAATTTACCATCGGGTGGTGAAAAACTTTCAGAAACTCTCAGGGGGGGATGGCGTGAAGACGGTTTACAAATTGGGGCTCAATTTGGAGGTACTTTTTTGTGGTTTGTTTCACTCAATTTTTGAGTTTTTTTAGGGACTTGAAGTTGACTTTGCCCCGGGGGATACCATCGGGGTGTTCCCTTCGAATGACGAGTCAGTAGTTGAGAAACTCTTAATTCGGTTAGGGGTTGAATCCCACGCCGATCACCCCTGCGAATTGGGGGTTTTACAAGAGACTAGAGTAGTACCAAAACACTTGCCCCCTCGAAGCACCCTGAGGAGGATTTTCCTGAATCATGTCGATTTACACACCCCCCCTAAGAAGGTAAAAATCAGGCGTACCACCCCAAATAATAAAAAAAACTTTCCAGTTGTTTCTTAAGTCGTTACTCGGCTTCGCCTCGGATTCGGACGCTTCCAAACTTACGTCCCTTTCCGCTCCTAAATCCCCCGACTACTCGACTTTTATTGCACAAATTACGTCCCTGGTTTCCCTCCTAGAAACGTTCCCCACCCTCCAACCACCAATTACGCTCCTCCTTGAACACCTCCCACCGCTCCAACCCCGCCCCTATTCCATATGCTCCTCCCCGCGGTCATCCACTCTTGAAATCACATTTTTCGTCTCGGGTGTTTGTACAACCTTTCTAGAAAAACAGATTTTAAACAAGAATAAAGTCGCTTTCTATTTCCGCAAACCGGGGATTTTCCGGCTTCCGGATTTGGCAAACCCGGTGATTTTGATAGCGACAGGCACCGGGATTGCCCCATTTCGGGGATTCTTCCAACATTGGAAATTAACAAATTACTTTGGTGATGTGTGGCTGTTTTACGGTTGCCGTTTCAGGGATCGGGATTTTTTATACAGGGATGAAATCAACGAATTGATGTGTGCAGGGATCGTGAATCGATTAAACGTCGCATTTTCACGCGAAGGTGACTCAAAAAAATATATACAGAGTGAGATCGATAAGCGGGGAGGGGATTTCGTCGATTGGGTGAATCGGGGTGCTATAATTTACGTCTGTGGGGACTTTAGGACTGTGGTCAAGGATGTGCGAAGTTGCGTGGTGAGGAATTTGATCAAATATGGCGGATTTGAGGACACAGAGGCCGAGGATTTCGTCAAAGGGGACAGATTTATTGTCGACACTTGGAATTAATTTATTTATATAGAAATATAACTATACATAGAAAAACATTACAATAAAATTATTGTCGATTTTTTGGACCGCTGTGTAAATATTCCCTTAAGGAACTATAAAAATATCGTAATTTACAACAATATATAGGGTGGGGCGACGAAATGGGGGATCTAGTGTTCAGTCATATGCGTTTTGTCAAAACACCCTGTATATTGCATACACAGAGGGTGGACTATAATACAAAAGCACACAAAATATATGTAATAATAGCATTAAACGTGACAAATGTCAAATTTTTTATAAAATAATAAAGTATTTCTAATGTTGTAAATAAAAAAGCTATACAGGGTATTTGTCTTTATTTTTTTTACACTTTTTTTCGGCAAAAAATTATGTAAGATCAAGAAAAAAAGAACATTTTTTTCGATGGTTTACAACAGTGCTGACAGTTATTTGACGTAAGAAGTGTCAGCTGTCAACTTTACGAAATGTATATTCAGTGTTGCCAACTCACGAGAATTTTTTCTGATCAACCGGTAGACAAAAATTTGTTTTCTTTTATTATAATGCTTTTTATACAGCGTGTCCTAAAATCTGTGATTAAATTGTATACATAAAAAACTGCCCTGTATTTTATAAAACAGTGAACAATAAGCAAAACTATGATTATTTACCATGAAAACTACCAAATTTCGTGAATTTAAAAGTTTTTGATTAAATTTTATACATATGTCCCAACAATATTTAAAAACTAACTTTAGTTTCGCTTGATGCAACAATTATGACTCAAGTTTCTGTTGGTAGCACTGCAACTAGAAATTATTTCTGAAAGTTTGTATAAGATATTTTTTTAATTATAATTAGTGTCCTAAAAAAACTAAAAAAAAAGTTTCTTGAAAAGCCAAGTAGATCCAACATTTTACTGTTTTAATCACAATAATTTTTTTATATGAAACGCCCTGTATACAAGGTGTCATTCAATCAAATTTTAATTCGGTAAAAGAGACGAAACTAGTTTTTAAGTAGTTTATCTTTTTCTTGGAATGTGTCAAAAATGCTTTTGACAATTGCTCGTTCACAGCCATTCGTCCCCCACCTCAACCCTCGCCCCGCCCGCCCTAAATACAAACGCCCATCATCATCAGTCACACCCCTCACTCACGCCTTATGTAAAATCTTTTTGGCGGCTTTAATCAATGGCGTGAGTGTCCTCAACTCACTCCTCCCCGTCAAAAACTCATGTTTTAACAATTGTTTAGCCGTCGCCCTCTGATCCACATCGACTTGCAAACACTTATCAATAAAATCCTGTAAATTCTGACTCAATTGTCCCCACCTCACAATCTTCGGCCTACCATTGGCCGTTATCAAATACAACGCCCTTAAAGGCGGTTCCCGTAAATACGGGGGTTCTCCGTCAAGCATTTCGACAATCATTATACCCAACGACCATATATCAACTTTTTTGCCGTATTTTTGTCGCGTTACCACTTCCGGTGCCATCCAATATGGCGTCCCGACCATTGTTTCCCGTTGCTCATTGCCTACTACATTCGCACAAAAACCAAAATCGGTGACCTTGACGGTACCATCCATACCAAGGAGGACGTTATCAGACTTGATATCACGATGGATGGTCCCTCTGGAATGGAGGTAATCGATGGCTTGGAGAACTTCGTGACACACGGCGGCGATTTGCCCCTCTTTCATCACCGTTTCGGTGACGACATCGGTAAGGGGGCCCCCATCCAGCAACTCCATCACCACCCACAAATGGTCATCGTACATCACAAATGCGTCTAAGAAATTAACGAGATTTTTATGTCGGAAATTTTTCATTATTGCAATTTCGCTGAGGAGGAGTTCTTTGCGTTGCTGTTTGGTCATGTCGATGTCTTTGATGGCGACTGGGAGGCCGGTTTGGAGGTCGGTGGCGGCATAGACGACGCCCATGGCGCCGGTGCCCAAATCGCGATTACTGCGAATGTAGAAGTCGTTGGGGTCGCCCGGATTGCAGAGTTTTTTCAATTCGCGAATGTAGTCTTCGTCGGTGAGACGACTGCGACGGCGGAGGAAGTCGTCGTCGGAGGAGTCCTCGGAGGAGGTTTTGTGACGGAGTTCGCAGGTGTCGTCGATGGTGAGACAGTCGAGTTGGGGGATTTTTGGTGCTTTTTTTAAGTTTGTCGGGGGGTTTTTTGGAGGGATCACTGGTACGGATTCCGGACGGTTTAGTCTGAAAAAAAAAATTATAGAGGAGAATTAAATACTCGTGTTTAATCTTATCTCAAGTGGGTTTTAGCGAAATAGAAATTACGTAAAAAATGCTTAATGAAATTCCAATTCAAAATGTGGTTGCAAATAATTAGAAAAAAATTATGGAAAATATCACAAAAAACATTCAATTTTTCAAATTTAGAATTCTAAATAGTAAACTCCAAAATTCAAACCCGGAATTTCGAGTACTAAACTAAAAAATTCTGATTTACAAAAAAATAGAAATTACAAGTCTACAACAAACTGATTTGCTGATTATTGTAAATTTTCTCCAAAAATCTTTAGACTTACAATTTAAAACTTGAGACTTTAAAGGTTAAACATAAAATTCTTATTTCTAAAATTTAACTTTTAAGTCCAAAATTCAATTTCAAACCGAGGATTCCTTTCAACTTCAAAACTCAAAATTTTGAATTTTGAACTCAAAATTTTTATTTTCAAAATCAAAGTACAAAAAGGCTACAAAAAAATTCCAGCAAATTTCATCAAGAACTTCAAATCATTTTTTTCCTTTAAGAATTCCAATTTCAAACGAATGCAAAAATGAGAATTCTAACATCCAACGTCTAAATTCGTATTTCAAATAAAAAAAATTAAGTCTACCACAAAATTATTAATTGCATGTTTTTTAAAGATTAATAACACAAAGCTTAAAATTTTGAAAATTAAACTTGAAATTCTTATTTCTAATATTTA